ATGATGCCACAAAAACAGGGTTGTGGGGGGGGGTTTGGAAGATTTCCACAGGGTGGCTACTAATTTAGCTGCTGCAAATAGTAGTGACGTGAGGTTTCTCCTGTCTTCTTTCGTGGAGTCGTCCCATTTATTCAATAGTATCATTTCCGGCTTTGCTTTGTTAATCACTACCAGGGCTATTTTGGGGCAGGAACGCACAGGAACAGAGTTCCGGCTGGCTCCTGAGTTGGCCACGCCCAACAGGAACTCATTAGCATAATAGGCCACACCCAACAGCAGAAACTCATTAGGATTGGCTACATTAGGGGTGTGTGGCCTAACATGTAAAGGAGTTCCTGCTACAAAAAAGCCCTGGGTTTTGACAACAAACAAGGTAAACAGAATAAGAAGCAAAAGGTGGGTGTGGCTGGATGACCACACTTCTGGTAACATGGGGGTGTGGCCTAATATGCTAATGACCTGTGCTGTCAGGGGTGTGGCCTACTATGCTAATGAGTTCCTGCTGGGCTTTTTCTACAAAAAGAGCCCTGAATTCACTACCATAGTTGCTTCTGCCATCTCCTCCTGTTCTGCTCTCATACCTCCTGTTCCCATACTCCATGTAGCCCCTGCTGGCATGGTATCAATCTGTCCGCAAGGTTCCTCCTCTGACATTCTTGAGGAGTAGGAGGACTGAGACCTGTCTGTGTGAATGTAGATTAGCTGCGCTCTGTAACACTAATAAAGAGTACCTCCTCCATAGGCCGCTTTTCAACCTTCTCACGGCCTTCGAGAAAGTCTGTACTGGTAAGCATTCTCACCATTATAATTGTATTGTATTACTCCACCTATTTACTTTGTAATGCTGACGTATGCGTGAAGGCTGGACCAGAGGTTCTGTAGTTTTCAACTTTGTATTATTTTCCAGTTCTGGCAAAAAGTTCCACTCGAATGCAACTTTTCTGACTTCTAAAATAAAGCCTGCTCAAAAGGACTTATTGCGTCTGAGAGTTACTGTGCGAGCTGACAGCAGGGGAACCCCCCCTCCCCCCGATTTATGCAAGTGGACAGCTGGGCACCGACTCTACCCTCGTGGGTGGATTCTTGCGGCACAAATACCATCAAGAACCTGAAAAGGTGAGTCAAACTGAGCGGAGGGCCAACAGTTAAAACTTTATATATATTATGTAAAAATACATGTATTTATTTGTAAAGGATTAAAAAAACGCATAGGGGCCCAATCACACCTCATGTAAAAATTCCAAAATTATACTTTAAGAAAAAGTGCAGAAAAGGGCAACTCGAATGATAAAAGGGTTGGAACACTTTCCCTATGAGGAAAGGTTAAGGCGCTTAGGGCTCTTTAGCTTGGAGAAACGACGACTGAGGGGTGACATGATTGAGGTTTATAAGATTATGCATGGGAAAGAGCAGGTAGAGAAAGAGGTACTTTTCTCCCTTTCTCACAATACAAGAACTCGTGGGCACTTCATGAAACTGCAGAGCGGTCGGGTTAGAATGGATAAAAGGAAGTACTTCTTCACCCAACACTTGGAATTCACTGCCACAGGAAGTGGTGGCGGCTACAAGCATGGACGGCTTCAAAAGGGAATTAGATAAGCATATGGAGCAGAGGTCCATCACTGGCTATTAGCCACAAGGTATAGATAGGGGCTTTGGGGCAAGGGATGCTCTGTCTTCTTGGTGCTTCGGGGGGGGTCGGGTCAACAGTGGGAGGGCTTCTAATGTCCTGGCCCCACTGGTGAACCTCCTGATGGCACTGGTATTTCTGGCCACTCTGTGACACAGAGTGTTGGACTGGATGGTCCTTTGGCCTGATCCAACATTGGCATCTCTTATGTTCTTATATATACACACAAGGGCCAATGGACTTGACCAGACAAGTTTCAGCCTGTGGGGGCCTTCTTCAGATACCTGTATTATACTTTAAAAAACCATATTTTTAATACAGGCATTATTTAAATTAGAAGTATTTAATTTCATATAGCTTTTTTTTTCTTTTTTACAGCAATTCTTTTCTGGTCCATTTTGTATCTATGCTGTATCATTGCATTGTATTATGCATTGTAGGGGCCACGGTGGCTCGGAGGTTAAGACGCTGAGCTGCGGACCGGAAGGTCGGTAGCTCGGCAGTTTGAGATCTGAGTGCCGCGTGACAGAATGAGCTCCCATCTCTGGTCCCAGCTCCTGCCAACCCAGCCGTTCGAAAGCAAGAAACTGCAAGTGGATAAATAGGCACCACTTCGGTGGGAAGGAAACAGCCTTCCGTGCGCCTCGGCATTTAGTCATGCCGGCCACGTGACCACGGAAAAAGTCTTCGGACAGCTCTGACTCCTCAGCTTGGAAACGGAGATGAGCACCGCCTCCTAGAGTCAGATTCAACTAGCTTTCAAGCAAGGGAAACCTTTACTTTTACTATTATGCATTGTGCTATAAGCCAATTTGTTCCTCATGGCGTTTGACCTCTGAAGAAGGCCCTGACAGGCCGAAACACGTCAGGTCACGTCCATCGGACCATGTGTGCATATATGATTTTGGGATTTTTACACGAGGTGTCATTGGGCCCCTATATGTTTTTTATCCTGTAAAAATAAATACATGCATTTTCACATAATATTTGTATATTAAGTTTTAATTGCTGATCCTCTACTCAGTTTGACCTACCTTTTCAGGTTCTAGATCTTAGTTTCCAAGGTTAAGTTTGTTTTCTTCCTTTGTACGAAGCAGCACGAATACAGCCACCAACGTCGGTCCAAAGTTTAATTCAGGCTCTTGGCAAGGGAAGCCTCAAGGGTTCTCCTGCACGGTGAGAACAGGAAGTCTTGAGAATCTGGCAGCGACATCGGGAGGCGGAGTGTGCCGCTTCCAGACTTTTGTGCCAGGCTGGAAATGTCGCCATTTGTGGGAAAGGAACATTAATAAGTCCTTATTCTGCCTCTAAGGTTCAAGAAATGAGGAAGCCAGGTCTTGCTGGCTGCGAGCGAAAAAACAAGCAAACAAAAAACGAGTGGGAAAACCCTGGTTACCAAAACCAGCCAAAATTCATTCTCCCTCCCTACTTAAACTCATTCTCCTCATGGGCATAATGACTGGAATAATAATAGATCAAGATGTGTTAGTCCATTTGTAGTGGTAGAAAACAGCAAGAGTCCAGTAGTACCTTGAAGACTAACAAAACTTCTGGCAGAATATGAGCTTGTGGCGAGCAGTGTTCCCTCTAAGCTGAGTTAGTGTGGAGCGAGCTTGCAGTTTTTTTAGCCTCCAGCTCATACATTTTTGTCTTTGCTCAGGAAGGAGGGCTCCGGAGGAAACGAATTTATGCAGCAGCCATATCGCTTGCTCACAACTTTGCCGCTCACAAAGGAGAATTTTTGCTCACAAGACACCACAGCTTAGAGAAGATTGGATTTATACCCCACCCTTCACTACCCAAAGGTGTCTCAAGAGTGGCTTACAAACTCCTTTCCCTTCCCCTCCCCACAACAGACACCCTGAGAGGCAGGTGGGGCCGAGAGAGCTCTGACAGAAACTGCTCTTGAAGAAGAAGAGATTGGATTTATACCCCGCCCTTCACTACCCAAAGGTGTCTCAGAGCGGCTTACAAACTCCTTTCCCTTCCCCTCCCCACAACAGACACCCTGAGAGGCAGGTGGGGCCGAGAGAGCTCTGACAGAAACTGCTCTTGAAGAAGAAGAGATTGGATTTATACCCTGCCCTTCACTACCCAAAAGTGTCTCAGAGCGGCTTACAAACTCCTTTCCCTTCCCCTCCCCACAACAGACACCCTGAGAGGCAGGTGGGGCCGAGAGAGCTCTGACAGAAACTGCTCTTGAAGAAGAAGAGATTGGATTTATACCCCGCCCTTCACTACCCAAAGGAGTCTCAGAGTGGCTTACAAACTCCTCTCCCTTCCCCTCCCCACAACAGACATCCTGTGAGGTAGGTGGGGCTGAGAGAGCTTGTAACGACGACCTCTTGACAGAAACTGCTCTTCTTTCAAGAACAGCTCTTATCAGAGCTACGGCTTGCCCAAGGCCATCCAGCCAGGTGCAAGTGGAGAAGTGGGGAATCAAACCTGGTTCTGCCAGATTAGAGTCCGCGCACTTAACCACGACACCAAACTGGTTCTCATGGAGCATTGGTGGCAGGGCATGAGAACAAAAGCTCCTAGCCTGCCACAAATTCTGAGCAATGATACACAAAAGCTCACAGCCCGCCACAAATTTTGTTAAGTCTTCAAGGTGCTACTGGACCTCTTGCTCTTTCCTACTGGAACAATAATAAGGACCGTGTGCTGTCAAGTCGCAACCAGCTCACAGGCACGCCAAGACTGCGAGGTTTTCAAGGCAAGAGATAAGCACGTGTGGCTGGCCCCTGCACGGCAACCCCCTTACTTCCTCTGCCCAACAACTCCTGTCTTCCCTGGTGGGCTCCCATCCAAGTCATAACCGTGCCTGACCCGGCTTAGCTTCCAAGGTCAGGCAACAGCATGCTAGTCTGGGCTACTAGACGGCTAGGAACTGGAAACATGCTTAAAAAGGGGAAAAAAGGAAACGGGAACGTTTGGGAAGCAGAATGTTACGGCCAAGACCACACGTGGAGACAGTTCTGTGCTTCTGTGATGTCGATGCTGCCCTGGCCATAAACCTGTGTGTGGAGTGACAGTTTTCTTCCTTGTGGGCTCCTCCGCCTCTGGCCTTCTCTCACCTCCAAGCAGATTCAAGAAGCCCCCCGGGGGAAGCAGAGAGAGGCGGCTCACGTGAAACCCGGGGGGGCTTCCGGCCACTGACCATTTCTCAGAGTCTGCCTTTTTGCCAAGCCTCAAGGCCAATGCTCTTGATCTCTATTCCCAATGATCTATTCTCTCTTGCTCCGAATTGCAAGACTAGACCTAATGGGTGGAAATTACAAGGGAGTCATTATCGGCTAAATATCAGGAGAGACTTCCTAACTGCCAGAGTGATGGAGCAGTGGAACAGACGGCCTTGGGAGGTGGTAGGTGCTCCTTTGCTGGACGTTTTCAAGCGGAGGCTGGACGACCATCTTTGGGGTATGTTGTAGAGCTGTCTTTCGGCTGTGCTCCTGCAGAGTGCAGGGGGTTGGACTAGATGACCCGCAAGGTCCCTTCCAACTCTAACATTTTGTGATTCTATGCTCCCTCCAAGCTTTGGAGTCTCGTGAGCAAAAATTCCACTTTGTGAGCGACCGGCATTAAAGCTGTCAGTGAGCGATTCGGCTGCTGCATAAATCAGTTTGCTCTGGAGCCCTCCTTCCTGAGCTAAGACTAAAATGTGTGAGCCGGAGGCTAAAAAAACCGTGAGCTAGCTCCACACTAACTCAGCTTACAAAGAACACGGCTCAAGGCAGATTAGAAAATTTAAAACGCAGAGGCTTGGAAGCAGCGCTCCCCCTAAGCTGTGGGCGTGAGCGGCCGCTCATCGACACAGGAAGCCCCAACCAGCAGCAGTCTGGAGCCGCGCGAGGACTTGCACCGCCCGTCATCCAGTCAGGTCACAATGGTCCTATTCGGCTCAGGATGTGTGAACTGCTCCGCTCAGCTGGGGGGGGGGATTAGAGGGAACATTGCTGGGAAGTCGGGTTTCCAGCTCGGGGGTGGAGCCTGGAGCTTTGGGGGTGGAGCCTGTGGAGGGTAGGGGGAAGGGTCTCGAGCAGGGTACAATGCCATCGAGCCCACCCTCCGAAGCAGCTGTTTTTTCTCCATGGAAACTGATCTCTGTGGTCTGGAGACGAGCTGTAATTCCAGGGGATCCCCAGGCCCCACCCGGAGGTTAGCAGTCAAAGAGAGATTCACAGAAAGAGGCTAAATACAAGGGGGGGGGGGAAGGGAAATAAATACAAGGAATATATTATAAATATTCAACACTTACTGAAGAGCAGGGGTCATTTCCTGCAGGAGCGCACAGGAGCGGAGCTCCGGCAGTAAAGAGCCCAGGGGGCGGGCCCATGCAACAAGCCCCACCCCCTGCTCCCAGCAGCCCCGGGCCATGAGGAGCACAAGGATCTGTGCGTGTGTCCCTCCCCCCATAGCTAGCAATCCAAAACAGTCCAGTGGAGCCTGAGCAGTGGGTGTTGCCTTCTGATACACTTCCGGTGATGTCAGGAGGTGTGGCATATGCAAATAAGTTGTGCTAATGAGTTATGCGAATGAGCTCCTGCACCTCTTTCTCTATGAAATGACCGCTGCTGAAGATACTAATATCCATGTACTCTGTTCATACAACAGTGCCAAAGTCTAATATATATATGTTTGGTCCATAACCGTTTCCATTCTCACCCAAAGGGATAAGGCAACCTGTGTCGAAAAACTGTGTCAGTTCGATGTTTTTCAAAATGTAGCAGTTCAGTCTTTCAAAACAGTTCACTGTTTTCAGAACATAGCCGATAAGTCTTTCAGACAATACAATTTCTAAGTGCGTGCATGGAGAGACTGTAGAATGTTATTCTTCCGTAAACTGTGCTTGTGAGAATTTGGGATATTCATATTGCAGTGGCAGTATTGCACGCATGGACAACGTCCTCTCCCCTCTTTGAAAAAGCTTTTTGGAAATGGATGTGTAAAGAAGAAGGAGAAGAGATTGGGTTTATACCCCACCCTTCACTACCCAAAGGAGTCTCAAAACAGCTCACAATCTCCTTTCCCTTCCCCTCCCCACAGCAGACACCCTGTGAGGTAGGTGGGGCCGAGAGAGCTCTTTCGAGGACTGCTCCTGAGAGAACAGCTCCGGGGGAACTTGTGACTGACCCAAGGTCACACCAGCAGCTGCATGCGGAGGAGCGGGGAATCAAACCCGGTTCTCCCAGATTAGAGTCCACGCTCCTAACCACTACACCAAAAGGTGAGCAGGCTCTGTCAGAGGTGGAACGGCAGTGTCTTTTCTACAGTCTCCCCATGCACGCACTTTGAAAATGTATTGTTTGATAGACTTAACTGCTACATTTTGAAAACAACAAATTGATGACCGTGTACGTATTAGACTTCGGAACTGTTGTATGAATAGAGTACATGGATATTAGCAGGGCTTTTTTTGTAGAAAAAGCCCAGCAGGAACTCATTAGCATAATAGGCCATACCCAACAGCAGGAACCATTAGCATATTAGGCCACACCCATGACAGCACAGCTCATTAGCATATTAGGCCACATCCCCGTGTTACCAGAAGTGTGGTCATCCAGCCACACCCACCTTTTGCTTCTTATTCTGTTTACCTTGTTTGTTGTCAAAACCCAGGGCTTTTTTTTGGAGCATGTTAGGCCACACACCCCTAATTGTAGCCAACCCGAATGAGTTCCTGCTGTTGGGTGTGGCCTATTATGCTAATGAGTTCCTGCTGGGCGTGGCCAACCTGGGAGCCAGCCGGAACTCCGTTCCTGTGTGTTCCTGCCCAAAAATAGCCCTGGATATTAGTATCTTTAATAAGTGTTGAATATTTACAATATCTAATTCATTCACAGTTTCCCCCCCTTGTATTTACCCACCTGGAGGTTGGTGGCCCTGCTCGGGAGCCTTTCCGGTCTCTGCCCCGATTCGCTGCAGGCGGGCCAATCGTGACGTG